CAGTTTTGGCCAATTGCTCCCCATTCCTGGCCTGGATTAAGAATTTAGTAATTCATTGGTTTTTAAAAGTGTGAGATTGCTTTATAGAGACCTATATCAGGTGATTGGTTTCTTCTGAGCAGTTTGCTAGAAGTCCTATCTGCCTATCCATTCCTGTTTTTTGTTTAAAGGAGCCTGGATTACCGTATTGGCTGAACTCCCCTTTTGACATGGAGGTGCATAGGGCATATGAGGTAAGCTGGGGTGAAAGCTAGTTAGAGCATTTCTCACCACAAATGGTGAGGCACGCTGGGGCTGTTCATTGCGGCTTGAATACTGAAGCAATTGGATGAAATAGACTGCACTACAATTATGTACTGTAGCACCCAGCAAGAAAAAGGAGAGAAATTCTCACACAAAACTTCTGGAATATTAGTAATGTTGTGTCAGCCCCCTGATAGTGAATGTGTAACACATCATTGTATGTGTACTCCGCCAGCACATTTACTGCCATTTTGATACCAATGATCTTCACACAACTTACTGTGTAGTCACAGAAGACACACTGCATACTGTGCGTCTTACCAATGTGTCTTACTGTGTGTCATACTGATCAAAAGAACAGCATGGGAAGGAGGGTGAATGGCAAAACACAGTGGAATTGGTGCAGTAAAGGAACATTGATCTCTCTCCAAAGTGTGCATGGCAACTTTCTTATATTTTGAAAAAAGCAACCTCGGGACATGTAATAGTTCAGTTCTGCTACCTATGAGGTGGCACTCAGCCAGTTGGCACTTCGCTGAAAAACACAGGTCAGTGTCTCCTCTGAGTTCATGAGAAAAAAAGCGGTCATGGAATACCTTCCAAGCAATATATTGCCCTGGATGCCTCATGGATGGCATTGTTAGAATGTTGTGATGCCTAGATCTTGTCATTTATGATGAAAGTACCAAATCCCATGGCAGTGAAATCCATTTTTCTGCATTTATAACTGTCATTTAATATATTGGCCAGCTAGGCAGGAAAAGATAAATACAAATATTGCTTATTCTACCCTGGTGGATCAGCTTAGCTTGATTTGTCATCCTCTGCTTATAAATGTCCAGAGGAAATCCCAGGTGACATCCAAGTGTGACATCTCTGTATACAGATTACATGGACAAAAATTTCAATCCACGTGCACCAGTATGTTTAAGACATCAAAGAGATTACGTGGGTCTAATGAATAATGTGCATGCATGTATGTAATTACTGAGTCTGTGTATCATAAAGGAATATACATGGATACTTCCATGAACCAGATATGCATGCATGCCTGCAAACATTCATGGTATATCTAAACATGGTGATCATTTTCTTGAGAGAAACCTTTAGTCATCTAGCAGTCTCTGAAGAGCAGCACTATACTATGTTAAGTATGCAAGAAAGTGGAAGTTAGCACAGTTTCTTTGAGGATGAATTGAATCTTCCACAAGAAAAAATAGTGCCCAGACTTTCCCGGAGCTTAGGAAAGGATTGTTCTTACTCTGAGGAGAGGAAGGTTAAAGTGAGGGACACAGGATAATGTGAAAGAATGAATCATGCTATCACTTCTCTCACAGTCCTTACATCAGCTGGGGTTGTGAATAATAAACTATTATTTTATCTCATTTAGAACTAGGAGCTATATTACGGTGGGGGGAAAAAAAGTAGATAGGACTTGCAAGGCCACGTAGGGTGAATGCCAAATCCCAGATGCAAGCCTTTGAGCAGTAAAGTGGTTGGCAGTGTTTTGGGTGTTCATACTTGAGCTATAAAGACAATACACCTATTAGAAGATGGTAGGTATGTGCTTATCTCTTTAATAGGACTGCTTGGATTAGTCTGAACTAAGCCTTAGACTTACAGCAGTGCATTGGATGTTTCTGAGGGGTATAATTTTAATGCCGAAGTAAATTTCCTAAAAAAAGTTCACATTCCCATCCAAAAATCTTCAGAGAGGAAACCTGAGTGTACAGATCCTATCTTGTGTCCAAACAAAAACCCAACTGCAACAAAACAATCTTTACAGTTTATGTTACAAGTTGTTACACAGTTTTTCTGTTATTCTGCTATATGCAAAAGGTAGGTAAATATTAATGCCAAATCACAGATGGAAAATGCAAGTATTGTATTTAATTGATTTATGCATTGCAGTACACCAAATGAGCTGCCAAGTCAGGATTAGAGTCCAGGACCCTTTTGACTTCCATTTCCATGACTTTGCATTTAGAAAACTACCTCTCCATACTGTACTTTTTTCCTGATTTTTTTTTATTTATGATTTTTACTTAATGTTACAAGCAAATGCTGAATCTTTGACTTTTTTTTTACAAGTATTTGATATACCATCTGCATTTGATTATTTCTAGGGTTGATGTTAACATATGTAGCAGTATGACATTCACAGAGCTGGTGATCAGTAGTCCTGATCTAAATTGCTTAAAAATCTCATCCTTTTGTGTTCAATATATTTTCTTCAGGGTCATTCTGAATATTGGTCAAAACCACAAGGCTTGAGATTTTTCTACAGTTTAGGAGATGTGGATGCAGGGTATTGAGTCACATTATGGGGATGGGCTTCAAAGGGGAGGTTGAGATCCCTATTGTTTTTGCCAATATTTTGATCTGAACTACTGGAAAATGTTTTTGTGTAAGGTCAGAACAACTCTACATTGATGCTGATAAAATGCTGCATACACACGTGGCCAGTACTTTTATCAATACAAATCTCTGATCTATTATGCATGGCTGACACCTCAGCTATAGCTCCAGAGTCTTAATTTGCTTCTGAAATCAGTTCCGCTCTGTGTCAGCATTTGCATGCTGCCATGGTGATAAACTGTGAGCTCCCCTGTCTGAAACATTAATAACCCCCCTGATCCTGGCAAATTTGTGCTCATCCACATGGTGCCAATTACAGTGAGGTGAAAACAGAGGTATATAAAAACTTAGGCATATAGTCAGGTTTTGTCCTCAGGCAAGAATAATTACGATAAACAAGAGCAATCATTAATATAGTAAATTTTGTTTGTGGTTGCATCTTCATACACAGGAAATAGGCTCTAAGTAAGTAAGACTGTATTGAAAATAGTACCTAAAAATGCAGAGCCTGCATTTCTTTTTCCCAAAAGCATTTTCCCTGATTTTTCATGTGGCTCATTTTGGACAAGTGTATCATGACTGTGACAAACACATGAAAAGCAAGTTTGGTGAGAGCTCAGTCCAGCCACTGGCTCATTGTGTCCAATCATGCATTCTTCGTATTAGATTGTCTAGTATTTAGAGCCTGCTATTCCATCATTGCTATCGATAGAGGTGTAGTTTCACAGCAGGGTTTTATAATCATATTATCCTTCTCACTGAAACAGCAATTGAGTAAACTGGATTTCTAGAAGGCCTGCCCCTGCCATTCGCTACTTGGCAGCAGGTTGATTATTGAGAAATCTGAGGGAAAGGACTCTGTTCTCTGTAAGGGCTGACCATGTTGCTATCAGAGCATATATGGTATCTTTTTGTGTACTGGTTATCTAGTGGTAAATAAAAAAGTAGGTAAATCTGTCTGCCCAGTGTTCCGGGCTGAACAGTGGAAAAAAAGGCAAACTTTCTATTGCCCAAATTAGAAGTGGTTAAACATCACCTACTTGCGTTGAACCCTGCATATGCCACTGTGTGTACTCATGTCCCATGCCTATTGGAAAATAAGATCAAGAGAGGCATACAAAACCATATGTGGATATTGTTTTAAAAAAGTCTCCAAGTGGGTAGTTCTAAGTAAGAGCCTTTGAGAGCTCTAATTAAAACTTAAAATTTCTGATTCCTTATTCTGTGTTCAAACTGTTAGACATTATCTCTCTGACATTTGAGTTGGAAGAAAGGATGTTATGCAGATATAATATTAAAAAGCCCTAATAACATTTCAAAAGAGGAAAAATGAGGCCAGAAGACTTAATTATACTTGTGACCCAATTAGTGACATAAGCCGTCACCCCATATAAAGAATTTGTGCACAGCTACAAAGAAATAAAATTCAGTCACACAAAGAATATGTAGAGGTGCTCCCTCCAAATCACTCTTCAGGGTGGCTGGGCACTGAGCAGATATTAAGAACAGCGCTTGGTAAAGAATTTTGAAGTTGGTTAAGAACGAATAAATGTCTAAAGCTACTTTGGATAGCTTTTTAAAGCTATTTTTTTCATAATGGGTTGACATAAATACTATGGATGTTTACTTGTCTCTCTCATGCAGTAGATGGGAAAGGATACGTGGTAAGTGCCAATAACCCTCTGACGCTGCCTTCCCTCATTTATCTATGTTAAAATGCACATGATTTATCCAGAACTCTTCATTACAATGAATTCCACCTCAATGTGAGTCCACAATCCAGCAAGTCCACCCTCCCAAAGTAAGAAAGCATATTTCCCGTTAAAAATAGTTTGTGATTGTTCTATCAGCAAACCCTTTAGCAGTATTCATTCATGCAAGCATTCAACTTCCATGAATACTCCTTGTAATTATGGTAGCGTTTCTCTTGAAACATAATTTAATAAGCATTGTAAAGCTTCATATAGGCCAAAACACACCTGAAGATATTTTGTTAAATTCCTTGTTCTAACAACGCTTACGTTTGTTTTGTAGAGAGATCCACTCGAATATCATAGATAGTATTGGATGACCTTGCAGAGGTCATTTTAAGACTTGAGTTTATTAATGTACAATGCTATACACAATCAAAGCCCTACTTCAGTGTAATAGATAAGGAAAGAGAGAACAACACCGTCCTGTCATCCCTTAAAAATTTCTCCTTTACAGTAGCGCTCCCTTTCCCAGTGCAATCAGTAACATGAGTGAAATTATCATCTCTGCATGCATTGCCATTTCATATTAAGCTTCCTCTTCAGGGTATTTTCACTGGTGTATTTGTCCCAGTGCCCTCCTGTGTTGCTGCCCCGTCCCTCCCAGCATCAAGTACATACAGAACGCTCAAACACATCAGGATTTACCTTATAAATACTGATCCGAAACTCTCTGTAGGGCTGACTGGGGTGTCATTACATGACATTTGGAAGCTGTTCTGACTTTCAGAATAAAAAACGGAGTCCTCCAGGGAATTCCCTTTTCTCATCATTTTAATGGAGTTAACTGCAGAGTTAACTAAGTTCAGTTCTAGAGCGATCCTTCAAACACACAGCCTTTCACTGCTATAGGAAGTGCAGTCTCAATGTGACTCCAGCTCAGGCTAGTTTTTAAAATTGGTTAATGAGTAACATATTGATGTGACATCATGAGGTGGTTTTCTTTTTTATCCGCAGCACTTCATAGGTTTACTTGGAAACAGAAATCATCAAATCTAGGTGTACCGTGTCTTTGGAATGTCATTATTAATAGCAATAACTTGTTTTGATGAATTAAGAAAAAGAAGGAATGTAAAACAAGAACTCTAATTCAAATAATGTTTCATTGACAGGTTTGTACCAAAAACTGTAACATGGTCTGTCACAAGTTCTACTTTGTGAATTATCTACCTATCTCTAATTACCCAAGCTTGAATAACATAATTTTCTCTCTTTCAGAAGGGATACCTGTGCTGACATGTCAAAATTATTATATTGCACTTCTCTCTCCAGTGACAAATTGGTGTACATGTGTGCATGCAGCTGCTATAAAGTCGAGTCGTTCCAGTTCAGCTTAAATACAGATAATCTTTTAATTCTCAATGCACCAAATGCAACTGAACAAAAGCAGTTTGCTGAACCATTTTTTCCATAGGAACTGGCAAACATTAACTACAAACTTGCAGAGTTTTCTGTTTATTGAAGATGACTATAATGATTAGGTTAGTCAAGGAATTGATAAGCAATGTTTCTTTAGATTTCAAATCCTCTTATAATATCAAATGAGCATCCCAAGGCTGCCAGAAATTCTGTTAAACTTCATTTAGGACCTCCATGGTAATAAGGGTTTGTCTATGAGACTGAAAAAACATGTGGAACGTACTGCTCTCTTTCTATTCTCAGCATCTATAAATAGATTGTGAAACAATACAAATGCCTTTGGACTGTTCCCAGGTTTTACTCGTAAGCTTGAAGACATTTAGTCAAACTATGATGTCTTTCTCCATGTTTTTTTTTTGTTTTGGTTTGGTTTTTTTGTCTCTGGTTTCTTTACATGACTAAATACCTGGTCTTTGCTTTTTTAAACATAAAATTTATTTTGTGATCAGTATTAAGCAAACTGTAATGAAATCTATAAATGTCAGAAACAACAGGAGAAACAGTAATATTAAAATACACAATTAGCATAATAGCTAAGGAGACCAAAGGAGCAAAGGCAGAGATGAAACAGCAGTTTCCTTGGAAGTGAAAATTCTGAATAAATGTGACAAGTCTTGAAAGACCAAAGGCAGAAAAGGAATGACATACACACTCTTCATCATCTTAGGTTTTCCCTGTGAAGTGGAAAAAATTGAACACTTGTACTTAGGAGCAGTATTTAAGCTGCTTGGAAAGTGAGTTGGACTTCTTGTTTTTCCTGAGTTAAACGTTCAGAATTAATGCCTCCTTCAGCAGCTATGCTATACATCTTTGATTTCCTGCTATCTAGGCCTTTTTGTTACTCTGAATCTGCTTGATCCTGCATGACATTAAACTACGAACACAGGGCTGGCTAGCTGGGCAAAGTCTCTGTACTTTATTCCTCCGCCATAAAACAAGTGATATAACCTTCAACAAATATAGTAAACAAAAGCTATTTTCCTCTTCTAGTCACAAGGAGAGTTGGCCTTGGCTCTGTCGTGTTGTTCACATATATCCACTTAGGATAGGAAGTCTTTATTCTTTTTAAAGAAACAAACATCCTTAAAACTAATTAGAAAACTTAAGTGACATAGTGAGCTCATAAATCATTAATAGGAAATATTTATCTTTGAAAACAATCTATTTGTATAGTAAAATGTAATAAAAACCCTTCAATAAAAGTCAGAATGGCAACTGTGTTCCAAGAGCAAGTACAGAGAAAGGGCAATGGAATTTTTCCCTGAATGGGTAATTACAGGAACATTTTTAGCAAGGAGCAACCATGAGACGATTTTCTTCCTTCAAGTTTATGCATCTTTGCTGTTGTCCATAAAACAGTTAAGTTCTCTTACAGAGCACTGTGCCACCCTGTAAACTACTGTATTCCATCATACACTATCACGTGGTAAGTCTATCCTTTCCGGCCTGCAATTACATGACTGTATCCCATATGCCTGTACTATACTAACCAGATTAGGTACTTAACTTGGTGAGTTAAATGCTCTTGTGGCTACACAGCTGATGTTACTGAGCTAGTTTAGGACTAGCTCAGGCCTGACTACATAGAATCATAGAATCACTTAGGTTGGAAAAGAACTTTAAGATCATCAAGTCTAACCGTAAACCTAATGCTGCCAAGTCCACCACATGAACTTTGTGCAGTGACACTGGCATTATGTATGGCCGTGTGGAACAAAACAGGCTTCTGTGAGAGTGCTCTGAGACTCACTGCTGCTGCTTATTAAGAGGGCTCACCTTTCTTGAGCGTTGCAGCAGTAACTGCCTGGATTGATAGAAAAAAGAAGAGCAGGCCTACAAGATGCATTTCTGGTGGGAGCAGAGAGGTACAGTGGTGGTAGTGATGTCATTATATGCCCAACGGATGGAGCTTTCCTTATTACCAGGCTCAGACACATTGAGTTTACTATTGATTTCTAGTGCTTCTGCACAACTGTGATGTTGAGATGTTTTGGAGATTGTTTTGGGTCTGGAAAAGGACATGGTAGTTTGCAGGTAGGAGCCCAAAAGGGCTGACCTGATGGTGCCTCTATAAAAGATAAGACAAGGGGAAGGGGATTTAAGCTGTATGATCAGCCTCAGGATTGCCCTATTTTGATGCAACCGTATGCAAACCTTGTAGTTTATAATCACCATGCAAATTTTTAAAGCAGTCAATCACTCCCTGTCTTTCTGATTCCTTGTATCCATAAAATTTTCCAGGGGAGGTTTAGATACCTACAGAAATTTCACCTATAGAGGTGTGTAGCAGATACAGTATTTACTTTTCTTAGCTGCTTGCTTCAGATCTCTTAGCAGTAGTTAACGGACACCAATATCTTTTTTCTTTCTGATGCGGTGGATCAGGTGTGGGGAGAAGTTGATACTGCTGACCGTGTGGCTATCTTCTGTACACGGACATCTCCCCAGAGAATTGTGCTTTATGTTCTGAAGAAATTGCTACCTCAGTGGCTTTTTAGCTTCAATACATTTTTTTGACTCTAGCTCTTGCTGTCCCATATCATGAAAACAGCTTTTCCCCTTTATTTCTTGTTTCTCTTCCTGTAAACTACTTTTCTTCAACTCCATATACATATTTGGCCAAGTGTATCCTTATTTTTCTCAAACTATGCCCTTTAATTCTGACCTTTGTCACTGACACTCCGTTATCACTTACCTGCTAGACTGTATCTTGTGAAATCTAGCATTGTTGCAATTGTTTCTGATAGGCAGACACAGGAAAAAAAAGTTGTTGGTGTCCTTGAACCTCATAGAATTTTATTCTCAGTCTGCAATGGTCATCACTGAAAGGTTAGAATTTGTCCTGAAAAATTTACAATTCTCTTTTCTTCTTTTATCCTCATGATTGCTGTGAATTTTTTTTCAAAAAGTGTGTAACTCCAGGAAAAATGGTTTATTTTTGCTTTCTCAGTTCCTGAAGTGTTTCTTCGGAGGAAAGAGATACCGGGAAATATATTAGCAATGCCAATTGTGTTGCACCTATTGTAAGTCCCTATGTCTTTACTAAAATGATCTCATGTTACTGGATAGGAAGAAAAAAGTGATGAATTCTGGGTATTCAGAGTGAGAGCTTTCATTTATGCCAGGAAAGCCTTTGTGCCTTGTGGTAGGTAACTGCTAAGAAACTGCATAAAGATTGCAAATTGAAGTGAGGATAAAGTGAGATGTTATTGAACAAAAAAGGTAAAGAGATGGCTGGAAAGATATTCTGAACGAAACATTCAATTTTATTACCATCCAAGAATGAATCAAATCAACAACAAACCAGCTGCTCTACTTGTGGCAGAATGTCATACTAGTGATTTGAGATGGTAGTGAATGTTTTTATGTACAATCTTAGAAGAGTTTACATCTTGGTTGGAGACCAGCCACAAAACCTTATAGATTTTACAGTAAAGAGCAGGGGAATGGATGAGTGGGTGTTTCATCAGTTAGTTGTGAGTCTCAGAATTTACAGGCCTGTAAATTGGAATAAGACTGCATAATTAGTCTGGTATGATCCCTAGAATGGAGGGGCGGGGGGGGACACAACATTTAACTAGTAGCCTAGAGCACTGAGTTCTTGCTTTATGGGTTTGGCTCGCATAATTTTTGTTCTCTGTGGTACGTGAAGAAGCAGCTGCTCTGATTCAGAGCTGATATTGTCTTTCATGGTTAGGATTGCCTCCAATCTTTGTTTTCTTTTTTTGCTGCCTGGACCAAGCCTGTGCAAAAACTAGTCTTTTTTCTCTGAATTGTACATTTGAAAAGTGCAGCTTTCCGCAGATAATTCCAGAATGAAATATGGATCAGATCTAGTTCACTATAAAATAGGTTTGGATGTTTTTAGGTAAGTTTTATATCTAGGTTCCTATATTCTGTTCCTCTTTCTAATCTTAGATTTCTTGGTTTTCCTCTTGAACTTGTGTTTGATCTGTTCCACCCTATGCTTAGTCTGCAACAGTGATATACACTCAGTTTGTATGCAGTGAGTTTTGAGTTGTGCCTGTTTCTGCTTAAACTTACACCAGTACTTAACTGTTGAGTATGTGGGATGCTACAGGCAGAAACTGAGGATTGCTGTGGCTCCTGTGCTGCTCTAAGTGCTGGATGAGTGCAGAACTGGTAGAATCACAACCACATTTATGGAGTAAGGAGACAGAAAACTTCTTCAACTGGTCAGGTGCAGTGAGAGAGGTAGATGAAAATGTAGCATAGAAGAATGACACCTACAAGTATATAGGAATGAACTGAATGGAGTGGAGTCCATGTTTGTGGAAGCCAGTGACTGTTTTTCCCTTCAGTAATCTTGTTGTAGGAACATGCACTTAAAACT